GAAGCTTTTTTACAGGGAGGAGGGGAAGGTTGAAAAATCAAACCGTCGATGACTAAAGAATAAACCTAAAAATTCCTTCCACTCGCCCAGAAAAAAATGGGAAAAAATATAAATTTTAGTTTTTCTTCACTTATGACAATTATTCTCGGTTCAATCTTTGCTTGACCTTAAATCAACATTTAACATTACACAGAACCTGCAACTTTGAACTTTGCATACTTATTACAGGATCGTTGCAAATTTTAAAAAAATTCCAGTTACCTTCATTTGAGAAAAAATTAAAGAAGCCACCACTGCACGCCTTTTTTTCGGATTGAGATTTAGAACGCAAAAAAATTTACTACACCCTTAATCACAAATGATTACCATATTCACAGAAAGCTTTTGCGACCTTCTAGCAACCAACTCTCATTTACTCTCTCATTCCCCCAAAGATAAAGAACATTTGTTGTCGAACCTATACTTTGAGCCAAAAGTTTGAACCCAAGAGGCATGAAACTTACTCGACTCGTCAATCGGAGTAGCTGCGCCGATTTCTACATCCTTCGTAGACATTACATGTGGGAACTCAAATCAGTACTCTTTCGGATGAACGCAGACAAGTGTTATAAAACTGAAAAGTGTGTCAATTCATTGGTAACCCCGCGCAAAGAAAATGGTACAAAAGTGAGAGGAATTGTACTTCTGAGAAAAAATCAAAAGAAAGTTTGAAACTGAAAAAGTACATCTTGTCCCTGAAACCCATTCAAGCTACGGTCGAATTTTAGCAAGATGAAATTGACATCAAGTGCAAGAATACCGTGGTTAGGTACCTGTCATAAGAAAGACAACATAATTACCAATATTTATTGAACAAACATTCGTATAAATAACAAATTATACAAAATTTAATCACAGTTTTTACAATTATAAAGTAGCATACACCGTCTATTGCATATGATCTACTGACTTCAGCATATCCAAGGTTTACTATTAGCGAATAAAGCTGTATACACTTTTGACTGACAGAATTGTTCCAGTCTATGTCTAAGGCTGTTCCCTTCGCATAAACGATGATAGCATATTCATCATATCAAGATTCGGCTTCCATGAAGATGAATCACTTCGACCAACAACAGAAGCGAATAGCTGTTCCATGACTTGATCTTTCGGATGGAATTGTACATGAGACATCACATCTTCTGCCACAGATCTGAAAATCAAGTACGAATAAGTAGGGCGATTACGAAAGTGACATAGCCAACGACAAGTAAATATGAGCAATCAA